AATAACGAACCGACCACCTCCCAAGACAAATCCAACCGCAACTGAAAAGCACGGCAATTAAACATTTTTATTCGTCAGCTCGGCCGTTTACTCTAGCTTCTCTACCAATGCTATTTCGTAACTTCTCTGCCGGTGGTGTTTGGCAATTTGCCAAGAGCGCTACGTAGCGCTACCCAGAGCTTGATGGCTAAAACGCGTTGTTTGGGGATGCTGGGTGGGAGGATTTGCGCGGTTGTTGGTGATGGTAGGTGGGTGAGTGCTTCGACACAGGTCCTGGGGGACGGGTTGGGGCAGGTAGGGGACAGAAACAAACGTGCAGGTGAGAGGTTCGAAGTGATTAATGTTGGTGGTGGGTGGGGTGGTGGGTGATGGGTGCCCAGAAGCCGTTGTGCAGGCAGGATTGAGAAGGGGTATTAGTCAGGAGAAGGGGTACTAGTCGAACTCCTGGTACTAGTCAGGAGTTCGAGGCAAGGACTTGAGGCAACAATAAGGAGGAAGGGACAATGGAGCAGTACAAGGAAAAGTAAATTGAGGAAAACCTAAACTTGTGAAAAAAAAGCGAAATCAAAGGATTGGAATCTATGAATGAAAGCTGAGTAAAGCAAAAGTAAATAAAAACCGAGAAAGCAAAAGCAAAAAACAAATAAAAAACCTAGCAAAAGGAAAAACTTATGAGTGGAAATTGTCTTATAGAAGCCCGTCTGCAGTAGTGAACTTCCGTACTTATGACTGGCACTTAGATAAAGCCTCAGCTTTACCTGCGCAAGTTTATCTTATTCGGACTCAGTCTCGCCAAGCATCAGCTTCTTTTTCTTTTGCTCTGACTTTTTTTTTGCTTTTACTTGCTTCAAATTTTTTTTTTTTAATTTTGCTTTTGTTCCTGCGCCCAAGCTTGCTTTGTTTTACTTTTTTTGATATTGCTTTATTTTTTTCTCTTTGCTGCTGTCTGTAGTTTTTGTCTCGAGCTCCTGACTTGTGTCCTCACCTCCTTTACTCTGTGCTGAAATCCGCCTTGCAAAGCAACATTTGAACTCCTCTCCATCCCCACTATAAGGGCACCCTGGAAGCAAACAATACTTCAGCCTTCTCCCTATCCCGGGCGTCCGCGGCAAAAACTAGAAGCACACTTCCTCCTGCTTCTCACCCAATACCCCTTCTTCTTCTCCCTTACAGCACAGAGTAAGACCTAGGCAACCGCTAAAGGACCCAAGTCACGTATCCACTCAATCCATTCAACCAACCCGCTCCCCCTGCCTCCAATTCGCGCGCTTAGAACCCGCACACAGCATCACAACCCC